GTTTGACATTCCAAATATGTCTGGAAAGCTTCCACAAGTAGTTTAATGACCTAATCAAGGCTTAATTTGGTTCGGATTAGACCAATATTGATACCATTGGTCCGTCTTATCGAGTCAGTTAGTTTGACTGTAAGTTTGCTGAAATCAGAATTCTAAATGAATTTTATTTGAACGTAACTTACTTAAAATTGCCTCGAGATATATGTTATACCTTGAGATCCGTGTCCCATAATGAAAATTTTTTGAAGGTGATACAATCGTTAAAACTTCTTTTAAGCTCTTCTCACATTCTGTTTTTCTCTTTTGCGTTTTAAATTTAGGAGCAATTACTTATATAACAGTTGAAACTTTGCTATTTACAAAATTAGCGCCCTCATTCATCCATTTTTTAAAATTTCACCCAAATATCAAAAATCATAAAAAAAACTCCCAACCCATATTTTCATCTTCATCAAATTCTCAAAGGAACCATCCAGGCATGTATACTTATTAAGCGTCTATATAAGGTTTTAATAAACATATAAATTTTAATCCAATAATAACATGAGTAAAGAGTTAAAATAGTTTTCGACTATTTACATAGGATTATTTTAATCACAGAGTTTATGAAAGTGCTAAAATAATCCTTATATTCTTTAAATTGAGGTTGAAATAGTCTCTAATTAATATGTTTAAAAATTTATTGGAGGGTGAGTCAAGCTTAATAGAAAATATTACATACGACTGATCATATATTCGAACGACGGTCCAAATACGATCAAACCGCTTTTATCATACCATTATCAGAATATAAGATTGCCACTTAATATTTACTCCAAGCCTAATTTCTTTGACCAGCAACATTCCTAAAATGTTGAGACATTGAGATTTTCTATATAATCTTTATTCTTATACATGCTAAACTTTATACTTATAAAATCTAGCATGAAGGTGTTTTGAGCTACCAAATTGATATTTTTATGTGAATCACAATTAAATTATTGAGAATTTGTTAAAATTGAAAAAATATGGGTTGGAGTTTTATATTGCATTTTAATGTTTGAGTCTAATTTCAAATGAATGAAAGGTGATGTAATATTTATAAATATAATTTTTCAGAATATTATGTATTTAAATGCTCTTTCTATTTTTTTTTAATTATATTTTAAACCTTGAGAGGAACACGAGCCCGTTTTGTCGTATAGTCGTCTTCACTCTTCAACTGAGCGTCACCACTATAAATAGATAACTCCCACCTCTAGCTTCTTGAGAGAGAAATAGGAAGGGATCCAATGGGAGAAATGGGGGGCAAGAAGCCGAAGGTTGTGATAGTTGGAGCGGGATTGGCCGGCCTAGCCGCAGGCCGGCGACTTCATTACTGCGCCGGTGACGTACTTGACGTCGCCGTGGTGGAGGCCGGCGACCGCATAGGCGGCCGCATCCTAACCTCCGAGTTCGCCGGCGCGCAATTAGAGATCGGCGCTACGTGGATCCACGGCATTGATGGCAGTCCCATCTATGAAATTGCCAGAAAAGCAGGAGCCCTTTTTCCCGATGAACACGCAGCAGCCTGGGAGCGCATGGATGGATTCCCTTCCGATCCCCTAACCCTAGCAGAAGGAGGTCTCGTCATCGATCACTTCTTACTTGATCGAGTATCTGCGGTATTCTCCAACCTCAAAGACCTCATAGTCTCAGGTAAAACCAACGATAAAATCGCTAGCGTCGGCGAGTTCCTCCGCCATGGATTTGAGTCCTACCGAGCTGAGAACAGAGCCGATTGGATAGAAGAGGCAGCGTTTGCGATGCACGAGTGCGGTGAACGGGGGTATACCGCGGTTGACGATCTGGATTCACTCGACCTCTCGGCGGAGAAAGAGTACCGCGAGTTCCCAGGGGAGCACATCACCCTACCCGGAGGTTACTCACGAGTCCCCGAGTTTCTCGCCTCCGCACTTCCTGCCGGCACGATTCGTCTCCGGCGAAAAGTATCGCAGGTGGAATGGCATCCTGATGGTCTTGCTGGAGGAAATCCGGTTCGAATCCTCTATGACGACGGCGAAGTGGAATTCGCCGATCACGCGATCATTACGGTCTCCCTTGGCGTTCTCAAGTCCGGAGTTATTAACGGGCACGGCCTATGCTTCACGCCTCCTCTACCAAAGGCAAAGATCGACGCAATACGGCGGATAGGGTTTGGCTTGGTAACTAAATTGTTCATGGAGCTCGAAGAAGAAACGGGCGAGGAGAAATCCCCCTTTCCCTTCCTACAGCTGTTGTTTGATCCGTCAAGGCAGTTTTCCGGAACACCGAAGTGGATAAGGAGGACGGATTCGATATGCCCTATCTATAGCGGCTCCAGGGTGCTGCTCGCGTGGTTCGTCGGCCGGGAGGCGGCGGAGCTGGAGAAGATGGATGACGAAGATATCATCCGCGGGGTTCACGCTACCTTCGACGGTTTCTCACCTCCTCCGGCAGTCGACGGCGGCGGGGCCGCCCGTCTCTTTGCCCGCCGCTTTCTTTGGTAGGATAGCGAGCGTGAAGAAGAGCAGGTGGGGGAGGGATCCCCTGTTTCAAGGTTCGTACAGCTACGTAGCCGTTGGATCGAGTGGGGACGATCAGGATGCGCTCGCTGATCCGCTGCCCAGCGACAGCTCGTTGTCGCCGATGCAGATCCTGTTCGCTGGGGAGGCTACGCACCGTACACAGTATGCGACCACTCACGGGGCGTATCTCAGTGGGGTCCGTGAGGCCGACCGGCTGCTGCGTCACTATGGAATCTGTAGCTTGGGATCCTAATGAACGAGCAGCAGAGGGATGAGAAGAGGTAATTAAATTAACTAATTGAGTTAATTCATTGCTAATGCTTCAGAAAAGGTTTTCTCTTACCGTCAAGTTTTGAAGTCTGTATAATTCTATCAACTTCTGTTGGAAAAGATTCAACAAATAAATATATTTGGTTTTTATTTTTAATTTAAAAAGTAAGTTAATTAGGAGCCTACTAAATATAAATGGATTTGACGTAAAGCTTGGTTGGTGACTTTTTAGAAAGCAATGTGGTTTTTATTAGGCACTTCATTTGGTGCAGTAGTGTTCTGGCAATGGTAACTGAGCAGGGGAACCGGATTGATCAAAAGGACTGGAAATGGGGTCCCAGGTTATAATTGATGCTGCGAGATTTGTTGTTTTTGTCTGGCTGGACTAATTTGCTGTTTTCTCTCTCAAGTTTTGGATTGGCTTGATGAACTAAAATTTTGGGTGATCAAAGTTGTGGTGTAATCATGTAATGTTTGGTAGGTCTGTAAACCAATGTATTTGATGACCAACTCTTATTCGGTTTGATTAATGGTCAATCATATTTGTTCAAATTAGTAAATAAATAAATTTGAATATTTCTTAAGAACTTGAAGCTTATAGCCTAACTTGCTTGTTAATCTTTATAAACAAATTTGTTTATTGTTCAAGAAGTAACTTCTTAAATACTCTATATTTAAGATTTAACAATAAATAAGAGAAGAATACGATGGAGACTGATCCATTCAAAAAAGACTGTGAGGTTACCAAGCCGGATGAGCCAAGTCAACTGGGCTATAGCCGGCTGAATCAAAATGCGGACAGCAAAATGACTGAGCGAATCAAGTATAAGCCATTCAATTGAGAAGGAGATAGATTAACAGTCGGACCTTCAGTTGCAGGAAAGTTGATTCAATGCAGCAGTTTAGCCCACAATGGAGATGATTCAATAAATGAGTCCATTTCACAATGTGACTTTAACCGTAAGACAAAGACCAAAAGAATTTTCACCAGAGACTAATGATAATCAATCATGATGTATTAGCTAATTGAAACCCATCAACTAATCTCACTCGAGCCAAGTTAAGTAAGCTTAGTCATCCGAACTAGAAGGTGACCTGATGATAACTTGTTGCTCGTAAAATACCAAAAATACCGTTGAACAGACTCTTTTCAATTGGGAAAAAAATATAATATCACTACTGTACTACGCTCTATAAAAGAGAAAGTATTTAATGAAGAGAACTTGATTTTTAATGTTCATCTCTCACTCTCTCGCCCTTCCTCATTATCAAAGTTCTATTGTCTGGGTGTGATTAACAAATGATTTCATATTCAACAGATAAAATATTTAAATAAAATTTAATTAATTAGAATTTATTTAATAATTTACTTAATAATAATGTATTATAATTTAATATCAATTTGCACACAATTAATTCAACTTTTTTTCTTATTTTGATGAGTTAATTTGTTCGTACTTATTTATGTTAAATGATTATAAAAAAAATTACTTATAACTTATATAAAGTAGTCAGATGTTAATTTGAAATCTATTAAATTACTTATTTATTTAGATTTGTAAAAAAAGTTATTGATAATTTTATATTAAAAATAAATACTCATTTGAATTTTTAATTTATTCAAAAATACCACTATTTTAACTTTTAAAAGGAGAAATACACCTTTTAATGCATAGGTTGGAAAAAATAACTAAGCTTAGGTAGCAATAATAGCTATACTTGGATTACAATATATGTAGTTATCTATTGTAATAGTTTTAATTGGTCACAAAGAACATAGTTGGAAACAATAACATTTGTAATTGACTATAAAAGTTGGAATTAGTTGTTACAATAGTGTCAGTTGGTCAAAGAAACTATAATGAGAAGATATAGTATTAACTAGCCACATAAGTCGTAGTCGGTAGTTATAAGGGCATTAGTTGGGCACATAGGTAATAGTAGGAATTTGTAGTAGTAATTGGCCACAGACTATAATTGGTTGTTGCAAGAGTGTCTGTTGTCACAGTAGCCATAGTTGGTAGCGCTAAGAATTTCAGTTATCCATAGAGCCCGTGATGGGATGTTATTGTAGAAATTGGTTATATAGGTCGTAGTTGGTAGCTGTAAGAGCTTTGGTCGACCATAAAGGTCGTAGTGGGAAGTTGATGTAATAACTGGCAACAAAGTACGTAGTTAGTAGCTAAAAGAGCATCAGTAGGTCACAGTGACCGTAGTGTGAAACTATCATAGTAATTGTCTACATAGGTCATAGTTGGTACGTGAAAGAGCTCCAGTTGTCCATAGAGATTGTTGTGGGAAGTTGGAGTAGTAACTAGCAACATAGACCGCAGTTGGTAGCAACAAGAGCGTCAGGTGGCCCCAAAAGCTACATTGGGAGGATGCAAAAGTAACTAGCCACATAGGCCATTGTTAGTATCTACAAGCGCCAACTGGCCCCGTATTAGGAAGATGAAGTACTAATGGGCCACATATATCATATTAGGTTTTCGCATGAGCGCCAATGGTCATAGAGGTCATATTTGAAAACCATAGTAGTAACGAGACACATATATTGTATTTGATAGTTGCAAGAGTGTCAATCGATAACAGAGGTTATAGTAGGAAGCTGCAGTAGAAAATTGCCACATATGTTATAGTTGGTAGTTATAAGAGTGTTAGTTGACCCCATAGGTCGTATTGGGAAGATGCAGTAGTAATTTGCCACATAATTTGTAGTTGGCTGTTTCAAGAGAGACAGTCGACCATAGAGGTTGTAGCGAGTAACTGTAAAGGAGTCAGTTGGTCACAGAGGTTAATTAGTTGCAAGAGCGTCAGTTGGCCATAGAGGTCGTTGTAGGAAGTTGTAGTAAAAAAATATCTATATATGTCATCTTTGATAGCTGTGAGAGCGTCACTCACCATAGAGGTTGTAGTAGAAAGTTGTCATAGTAATTTGCCACATAGGTTGTGGTTTGTAGTTACAAGGGTTTTTAGTAAGCCCAGAGGTCGTGGTTGGAAGATGTTGTAATAACTGGCCAGATATGCCATAATTGGTAGCTCTAAGAGCATTAGTTGGACATTGAGGTCGTTGTGGGAAGAAACAGTAGTAATTGATCACATATGTCATAGTTGGTGGCTACAAGAGCATCAGTTAGTCATAAAGGTCATAGTTGGAAGCTATTGTAATAGTTAGCAACATAGATTCTAGTTTGTAACATAGGCTGTATAGGGAAGTTGTCATAGTAAATGACCACATAGGTCATAATTGTTGCTGCATCGATTGGTGGTTGTAGCCCTTTTCTCTAGTTATTATATTACGCCAATGAAATCACTTATCGATATACAACGTGAGGAGTAAATAATTGTTAGGAATAACAATTTTATTCTGGATATTGTAGCCATAAGCAATTTTCATCAGGAGTTGTCATTGTATCTTCAATACAATATTATTCCTTTCACCGTAATTGAGATACGTCATTAGTGAGTAGACTTCACCAATGGCAACGAGAAGGGGTGGTTCACAACGGTCGACGATAGCCAGCAAGTGGTGGTTAACAGTGGTCAATTGCTATAAAAGTCATAAGTTATCGTCGGGTTTTTAGTCTAAAATAAAAGTTGAATTTGACTCCTCCTCACATAAATGAAGAGAGGGAGCCTATTTATAGTCCTTAACGGAGTGTTATTTTTTTTATTCGGTGAATTAACTATCATAACCACCTAATCGGATGACCCATATTGATCCCATCAATCATATGATTTTTTTTATTGATTTGAGAGCCTTAATGACATCAAAATTGAGCAAGCTTAAGCATGTTGGATTTTTCTGCTTGAGACATTCAATTTGAATTTAAATATATCAACTGTGGAGTTCATTTAACCATTAAATTGAAAATCAAGAACCTTTAAAAATACTTTATCATTTGATCTGAGTTTGATTGGATTCAGATTGAACTAATTTTGATATTATCGAATTTATCTCATCAAGACATTCGGTTTGATTATAAATTTATTGAAAGATCTTGAATTTAAATATGAAGCATTTGCTACTTAAAAAAATACATTAAAAATCAGTTGAGATGATAAAAAATCTGTTGATGAGTATTAATATTCATATAAGATATCTAAATCTTTAACATCATATAAAAATATAATCATCCCCAGCTTGTTCAAAATGCAACAATGCCCCAACTATGTATGTAAATATGAAAATAAAAGATTTAGTGATGCGATTTATGATGGCTGACATGATTTGACTCGAGCAAGACAGTACAAATGATGCGTGAAGTCGACAGATCTGGCTGCTGCTGCGTACAATCAGGTACGTGTGAGTGACGTGGGATCAGCCAGAATCGCTTATATCGCTTAAATTAACTATTCACTACAACACCCCTTTGGTATATTTTATGTAAAAAAAAATTTAGAAATCTTTGTAATATGAATCTTCATTAGTTAATTTCGGAGTGAAAATGCGTGGAAGGAGGTATGGGATGCTGGGCATAAAACCAACGACAAAATCAAATCTTTATTTTTTGCTCACTGAACAAGTCATTTAGTGCAAGTAAAATAAACAAAAGATTCAGGGAAGGAAAAAAGCAACAAGAAGAGAAGCAATGACGACAAG